AGTGAATCTGTGTTCGTTATTCATAAAGTGGTGAATATATGTGAAAGAACATACTGTGGAGAACTGGGAAAATTCTGATATTTTTATGAAAAAAAAAATGAGACTCACTTTCTTTTCCTTTGGATTGATGCCCACTGTATGCAAAAAAGAATGGCCATACTGGGGCAAACCAATGATCCATCTAGCCCAGTTTTCTGTCTACCGACAGTAGCCAAAGCCAGGTGCTTCAGAGAGAATGAACAGAACAGGGCAATCTTTGAGTGATCCATCCCCTGTCATACACTCATAGCTTTTGGCAGGCAGAGGCTAGGGACAAGCAGGGCACGGAGTTGCATCTCTGACCATGTTGGCTAACAGCCATTTATGAATTTATCTTCCATGAATGTATCTATTTTTTAATCCCATTTTACTTTTGGCCTTCACAATATCCCCGGCAATGAGTTCCATAGGTTGATTGTGCATTGTATGCAGAAGTACTTCCTTTTTTGTTTGTTTTAAACCTGCTGCTAATTAATTTCATTGAATAACCGCTGGCTCTTGTGTTATATGGTGTATTATAAAACACTTCCTTATGTACTTTCTCCATACCATACATGATTGTATAGATCTGTCATATGTCTCTTTAGTAGCTTCCATACTCTTAATAATTTTTCATGCCCTTCTCTGTACCTTTTCAATTCTAAGGTATATTTTTTGCAATGAGGAGGCTAGAACTGCACCCCATATTCAAGGGGTGGATGTACCATGGATTTATTTAGTTGCATTATGATATTGCCCTCTTATCTATTCCTTTCCTACTGAGGCCTAACATTATGCTTGTTTTTTTGACTGACCCAGCACACTGAGCAGATGTTTTCAGATAACTATCCTCAGTGATTCCAAGATGTCTTTCTTGAGTGGTAACAGCTAATTTAGACCCCATCACTTTGGGGATTATGTTCTACAATGCACATTAGTTTGCATTTATTAAAAATGAATTTCATCTGCCATTTTGTTGTCCAGCCACCCAGTTTTGTAGATTCCTTTGTAACTCTTCTCAGTCAGCTTTGGACTTAACTATCCTGAATAAATTTGTATAGTCAGCAAATTTTGTCATCTCACGCTTTAGCCCTTTTTCCAGATCATTTATGAATATCTTGCACAGCACTGGTTCCACTACAGATCCCTGGGGGACACCACTATTTACCTTCTTCCATGATGAAAACTGAACTTCGAAAGCTTGAAAACTGAACAAGCAACGCAGTAACTGGAAGGAAGTCACTAAGCTTGAATAAACTAAAATCTGTGTGTGTGTGTGTGTGTGTGTGTGTGTGTGTGTGTGTGTGTGGTAGTAAGTACATAGTCGTACTACTTACCGTT